ATGCAACAGTTATATATACCTAGGTCGAGAAATCAACATGATGAATGACCTGGCACCTGAGTTGGAAGGAAGAGAGAAGAGAGGAAGAGAGGAAGAGAGCGGCTTGGAATGCCTTTAAGAGCGTTGAAGAAATAACTAAGAGGACAAAGAACCTCCAGCTATAAGCACATCTCTTCTCTTCCACTGTTCTTCCTGCATTAACATATCCCTCAGAGACCTGGACCCTACGAAAACAGGATGAGAACGCTATTCGGGTCTCTCAAAGAGGAATCGAAAGAGCTATGCCTGGAATATCACGATTCACTCAAATGAGAGATAGAATCTGGAGTTCTGATCTTCGTCAACGCTCAAGAATCAGGGACTCTGTCTCATTTGCCAAGGCATCAAAAATCAGATGGGCTGGACACGTAATGAGGTTTACAGACAACCACTGGACTAGAGCCATTACTGACTGGATTCCACGGGACGTCAAAAGATCGCGTGGACGCCCACCTACAAGATGGTCAGACTTCTTCCTCAAGACCCTGAATGATCGGTTTGAGACTCTGCATATTCCTAGAATGAACAGATGCCACTGGGCTATGCTAGCACGCAACAGGGATGAATGGAGACGTTACTGGCACCGGCTCGAGTAAATCGATGAATAACGGGGGATCAAGTGATCAAGTTAAAAAAGAATAAAAATGATAAAAATAATAATACATAAACTAGTATATCAAAAGAGAAGGAAATAGAATATGTTAGCTTCATGTTTGGAGTTTGTATTCAATATTTGTGAGTGGAGTTAAATATGATAACAATATCTTCAAAGACAGGTTACTGAATATAAAGGTGATGCAAGGGAGTGCTGAGACCCTTGTAATGAGCACAACTATTGCCAGAAATCAGGTTGTTCTTATAGGCCAGGGGAAACAGTATTTACACATTTGTTCTCACTTTCCTAAAGTTCACTGTGAGAAAAAATATCATTTTATGCAGAATCCATGAGAGCAATATGCACGAAGGTAAGAACTTCTGATCAGTAAGGTGAACAAAAGAGAGAAGAGGGGCTGAGTGCACCCATGGGCCGGGCACTTAGTCTAGAGGATGGGTGAGTAGGAAGGGTGAGCTCAACAGCACTGAGCATAGATTTCCCTTTCAAGAAGCTCAGCTTCATAAAGGCAGAGGCCAGAGAGATATAGTTGTAAGGGACTTTCCTTCATGTTTGTTGCCAATTCGTGTTCAAACCCTAGCACTGAATACGGTTCCCTGAGCATGGCCAGGTGTGATCCCTGAGGTCCCTTATCACAATACAGAGCCAGGAATAAGCCATGAGCATAAGTGATTATGACCCATTCAACTCTGTCCCCAAAGGAAAAAGGAAAGAGAGGCATTTGACATAATAGCTAGTGTTGAATACAACAAAGTCTAGTTTGTTTTATTGGAAATGTTGATGTGGAACTGGGTTTTGAATAAACCCAGGAGAGGAATGAGGTAGAGTGGTCCTAGCTGAGATGGGATATCATAGAATTGCACAGGACTATGTATTGGGATTATTTTCTATCCAGGTAAGAGAGCATAGAATTGTAGAAAATTGTTGCACTTAATGGAAAGCAAATGATTTAGAAGGAAAAAGGGATTAAAGAAACCAAAATAGTTCAAAAGATATCATTTGGTGTAGAGGAAATAATAGAGGCAAAGTGACAGTGGCCAGAAAAGTTTGTGATGAGGGAATGGGAGAAAGAAAAGAGAGGCTCAAGCTTGGTGGGTGAGAAGCTCTGGTCAGACAGAGATGGCATTGTGGAGCGCAAGTTTTCAGAGAGAAAACAATTCCAGGCATTCTTTCAGGTTTGTTTGCTGAGGAAGTGGTTGAAAGCCATGGATTAAAGGATAAAAAGGCCACCAACACGGGCGTTGAAGAGTGTTGACAGGGAGTGATGCCTTCAAGCAAGTGACCAGAGGGTCAGTAGTGACAAATAGAGCATGATAACATCACAAGATGATCAGCCAGTCAGAGGAGCATTGATTGCCCGTTCATGTGGTCAGTGACCCCCATCAATGGGCAGCAGCAGGGTGTTGACCCCCGTTTCAGTTCTGTCTCTGATGGAAGCAGCTCAGTGTCCATTGGAAAAGACATCTCAGAGATGAGAGGGCTGCACATAAGCCAAGAGTTGTTGGTGAGAGAGTGATTCTCGAAGATTCAGTCCTCCCATTCCTGAGAATGAGAGAAGATGAAGGGTGACAGGACAGGATCGGGCAGGGCTGAGATTCTAAGAGGAAACTCCCCAGAGGGTATGTGTACGTAAAAGATGGTGATCATCAATGTTAGAAGCTCAGTGAGGGGCCATGAAGCTAGTTCAGAGTTGGGGAGTGTGTGCCTCTCATGTGTGAGGTCCCTAAGTTTAGTCTCTGCTACCATCTGGCTTTTGAGCAATGGTATTTGTAGCCCTTGTCCCTGGGCTGAGCCACAGGGCCAGGTACCACCAGGAGTGGCTCCTCTTCCCCCTTACCAATACCACTAGGGGATGAGACTCCTGTGGGAAAGAAACTCATTGATCTGGTGGATCACGGGAGAATCAGTGCCAGGTAGTGCTGTGACCTGAACTACTGCAGACTTTTCAGGGTTGTGGAATCCAGACTTTCATCTCTATTTGCTTTTTTTGGTGGTTGAATATCTTTATGCAGAAATTTGACAAAAAATGAGAGGAGTGATGAGACAGTAGCTAGAATATGTTGCAGGCTCTCTAAAGCTTTGCTCATCCTGTCCTGTCCTCCTGTTGTTCATCGATTTGCTCAAGCGGGCCCAGTAACATTGTGAGACTTGTTGTTACTGTGTCTGGCATATTGAATACATCACTGGTAGCTTGCTAGGCTTTGCCTTGCAGGCGAGATACTCTTGGTAGCTTGCCGGGCTCTCCGAGAGGGTCAAAGGAATTGAACCCGGTTTGGCCGGGCTGGCTGCACGCAAGGCAAATGCCCTACCGCTGTGCTATCACTCCAGCCCAGCTTTGCTCATAAAGTTAAAAATCTTTATAGATGGAAGCTGCCAGTAATAATAATAGCTACTGTAATATATATGCATATATACAGGTAGATATACATGTATATATATCTACCTTTACATGTATGTACAATAGCTACTTGTCCATCTATGTCCAAACTGATTTTAATGCTGTATGTTCTGAGTAAGAATAATTATAGTAGTTATCAAATTAAGATGCTCAATTTTAAGTTCTTTGCTTGATTTAGTATTGCCTTCAGCTCCTTTAAAACTATTACTTTGGGGCTGGAGAGTATAGCAGGTAGAGTGCTTGCCTTTCGCACAGCCAACCCTGGTTCAATCCTCAGCACTACATATGGCTCTTCAAGCCCCACTTGCTTGATCTCTGGCACAGAACTGGCAGCAAGCCTTAAATATCATTGGAACACCTCGCCCCCCCACCCCCCATGAAAAAACCCTTACAAAACCAAAACAAAGCAATGAATTTATTACTTTTATCTTCCCAGATATATAAATGAGGAAGGTGAAAGACATAGAGGTTAAGTAAACTGGCTCATCGCTCTAAGTCAGGATCAGAGCGCTGGCCCCCAACACAAGTGACCTTGCTCCTGAGTCACTGTGTTGTCTGATTTGCAGCACTGTGATGTTGTGATGTGGCTTGTCAGGAGCTATGGCCTGTCAGGAGAGCCACGACAGGAAAAGAGATCCCAGCGGCAGGCAGATGTGCCGGTGCTGTGTCTTTTTGAAGTCCGCAAGACTGGGACATGCTTGCCTGCAGGATTTAGTGAAGGATGGCTTCTTCCTCAAGGCTGGGCCTTTGTATTCATAAGTAAATATGCTTTAGAGATTTCTTTGAACTGCAGATAATTTTTTTAAAAGACGTATCTCATGAGCAAACACTTGGATTTTAAAATCATGATTGGCCTTGGATTATGAAAGTTTCTTGTCTCTCTTTCCTCTTTGGTGCCCTTTCATCTAGTTTATTTCACAATTTGGAGATGAATAGAATATTGACATAGCTCGTCTATCTGTGCTTTTCTAGGTCCTTCTCCCAAAAATGTGGATGAGGAAAAAAAATAAATGATAACAGTGATAGTGTATCTGAGCTTACAGATGATCTGTTTTACAGTCTTTTATTATTCTGGAGGACATAATCAGTATTGAAACTTGTAGGGAAAGTAGAAATTAGATTATAGCTATAATTTTTAAAGTTAAGATCAAGAATACTTAATAGTAAGTTTTTATAAACTTTATTGTCTCTGCAGCATTAACTACACTAATAATATATAATGACATATATTTTGAAATTGAAAGCCACAAATAGCATATTTTTATTAATTTAAGAACAAAATGTGACTACAGAATTATATTTAGTGGTAAGCAAGAAATGTTACTCTCAAAAATGGAATATACCCACTTTTCCAAGTTAATAAACATTGATTATGATTTTCAAAACTAGATTAAAATTTATAACAATAATCTATAGCTAAGATAAAAATGGAAAGATTGGGCATATGATCATTTTAAATCAGCAATATCCCTGAAATGTTCTTTCTTCCCACAGTATTAGATCATTTATTTGATCTCCATAGCTTAATGAGTGATGCTTATACACAGTAAGATTAATTTAATACTGTTTCTTAAAAACATCCAAGAAAGTCTCTAATATTTTATTACTTTGGAGCTATACCCTACTGTGCGCAGGACTCACTCCTGGCTCTGTGCTCAGGGCTCACTCCTGGAAAAGCCCAGGGGGCCAGTCGTGGTGCTCCAACCTGGGTTGGAGGTGTGCAAAGAAGAATGCCTTATTCCTGTACTCCTGGCCCTTATAGTACTCGATTGTACTACTTCTGTTGTAGCTCTAATTGCCTTCAGAGGATAGTATACTGGTTATTAATAATATTATTCAAGTACTCCCCAGGAAGAGCATTCAAATGGACTGGAATATACTTCTGTAATTTTGAGTAAAATGCTACTATTTAAAATGTCATGGTTATGATCTATGGTTTATGTATTTCAGATAGGAAAGGAACATATAGGCCTGAAAGCTGTGACTGAAATCCTCCAGGATATTCAATATAAGGTAAGTCATTATTTAACAGGAAAGAAAACATTGCTTCTGGAAGAGATTCCCAGACCATCCCCTCAGACTTGATGATTTCCAAAAGGATTAACAGGAAGTGATTATTCCCAGGGTTAAAGTTTATTACAGCAGGGAATGAAGATAAAAATTCAGCACACAGTGGACTGGTGGCTGACCCGAGTTTGATCACCACCAAGTCAATTCGGAATCCTGCCAGGATTGATCCCTAAGTGCGGAGCTAGGAGTAAGCCGTGAGCACTGCTGAGTGTGGTCCAAAATAAAACAGATAATAACAACAACAAATCAGTACACAGGACTGGGGCAACCATGCAAGGGTTAAGACACATACTTTCTTGCATACATGGAATCCCAGTTCAGTGGCCCTGTATGTTCCCTGAGTATACCCAGATGTAACCTTAGAGATCTTTGAGTTCCACCTGGTTGACTCTGGTGGCTCCAAAGTGCCACTAGCATGGCCCTAGGGGTCATGGCACTTTAGGCCTGAGTGACACCCTTGAATTCCTGAGAATTACTCTTGTGCTTCCCTGGAAATTCTTGGAAGGTACCCCCATCTATTTTTTCTTTTTGGGTCACACCCAACGATGCTCAGGGGGTTACTCCTGGCTCTGCACTCAGAAATTACTCCTGGCCGTGCTCAGGGGAACATATGGGATGCTGGGAATTGAATCTGGGTTGGCTGCATGCAAGACAGATGCACTACCTGTTGTGCTATCACTGTGCTGTCACTGTGCTATCACTCCAGCCCCAGGTACCCCCATCTTATGAGACTCACCAGGGAAGCTCACCCTAGCCTTAGTGTCCAGAGATTTTTATTAGGATGAGTTAGGAGGCAGGCCAGGCCTGCATGACCTGAGCCTCTCTGATTTGAACCATGTCCCATCCCTCAGCTCCCCCACCCCCAGAATCCCATAGCAAAGCCAACATTCACCATCAACCACTTTGTCAGGATAAATTCATCTGATCCAGCAGGTATGGGTGGCCTCAGGTCTTAGGGCACACAGAAATACTCTTATCAGGTAAAGCAGACTACTCTATGGTGTGAGGTCATTTCCTAGGCTGCCTGAGGGATAGCTAATCAAAAGGCAATGAGGAAATTTTCCCACTAGGAATAGACTGAGAAATTTTCCTTTATTTCTTCAGTTAATAGAATATGAGTCAGTGTGGAATACAGGAGGATGGTGAGAGGCAAATAAGCTGGATTCTTTCATATGCCATAGAGTCTCTCTAAGTAAAAGGCTGAGAGATTGTGCATGAATGTTGTTTCTTATTTACATAATTAAAGAAGTTTAAGTCCTGTCTGCCTCTAAGTCAGCCTCTAAGTCTGGCATTATTAAAATAGTGGTTGTGGGGGGTGGGTGGAATGATAGTACAGCAGGTAGGGTGCTTGCCTTGCACATGGCCAAACCAGGCTCAATCCCCAACATCCCATATAGTTCCCCCAGCATTATCTGAGTGCAGATCGCTGAGTAACCCCTGAGCATTGCCGTCTATGGCCCCAAATCAAAAATAAATAGTGGCTTTGAATACAAATTATTTAAATAAAAGTACAGTTGTTTTCTATGAAATTTAAGTCTAGTCTGAGCAATGTCTCTACATTTCTGAAAATTAAGTGACTTTGATTGAAGTTATTATTTTTTTTAATTTTTATTTTTGGTCCAACTGACAGACGTCTTCTCTAGAAGCAAAATGTATCCAGTGTAGATCCAGCACATGTTACTAGACTCAGATGAGACAAAACAATCGTTGGATTGTAATTCCAAGAAGGCAAAGGGCTGAAATCAAAGCACAGGAGGAAAGAATTTCCTAGGCTAGGGTTTAGGTGTTTTATACCAGGGCTCTATGATATGCATGGAAAAATAATTGACTTGAGGCAGACAGCCACTATGACAGACAGATGTTAAGTTTCACACCAAGAATTATAGAGAAAACCAAACTACAGTACCAAAGAAAGTAGCCATACACCCAGAGCAGGGATATTTGTTGAAACTGACATCTGTTGGTCCTTCCAGAAGAGAATGAGGCACCCGCAAATCTCTGGGGGTCATGAAGGTTATTCAGAAGAAGCTTCATCCTGGACTTTTAGTGTTAGTGTTTTTTTTATTTAAAAAATTTCAAATATTAGGTTAACATAGGGCATATTGTTTTTGTTTTTCAGGGGAAGTCCAAGACAATTCCCTGCTTTAACCCTAACACGTTGTTACCAGGTGAGTATTCACATTTACCAGAATGTCAAATATATTTTCATTATGCATATGAGTGCCCTTTTTCCTTATAGTATATCTGACTACATATATTATTGGTTTTTACAGTTTCTTTACCTCTTATAATGTCTCCAAAATGTACTGGTTAGAGATGGCTCCGAGCATTGGAGTAAACCTTTGGGAATGATAAGCTTTCCCATTAGGAGTATAAGGATTATCATTTGTAAACATTTCTACCTCTTTCTAGGGGTTGGAGCTTAGTGGCTGAGTGCATACTTTGCAAAATAAGGTATTAAGTTCAATCCTGGGATTAAAAAAGTAACAAAAAAATATAAAGCACAAGCATAATAGTGTAGTCTTGGTGTTTAATCAGCGAAATTCTTATTTATCTCGAGTAAAGTTAAAAGGTCTAATTTATAAACTAACCCTTTGTAATCATACTGTGGTTTACATATATTGCCTAGGGATATCTGGACAGGTAAGAGTTATTGTGCACAAAACAGCCAGAATATTGGGGGCCTATGCCTAGTGCAGTGGATAACACATTTGCCTTGCATGTCAAAACTTGGGTTAGATCCCTGGTGTCCCACATGGAATCCCAAACATTGCCAGCAAGGTGTGATGTCTGATCGCACATAACATTCACAATGTAATTTATAATCAAGACTGTTTTTTTTAAAAAGCAACAAAAAGAAAAAAAAACTTTTGAATTAAGATTTATTTTTCACATTTCTGTGTAAATAATGCTGTTACTTGATGTTTTAAATAAGACCAAATAGCTTGCATTGCATCTTTTGTTTTTTACATTTAATTATTTTACATCAAATCATCTTTCATCATATGTTGGACTTGTACACATTCTATTCAATCATGAATTCCCATAAGGCAAAATGAAAGTTCCATTAGAACAATTGCTTTGCTTCTATCATTTTAAAGACAATCTTAACATTTTGCTGTTGAACAAGTAAGGGATAGGTAGTTAAAATAAGGTACTTTAAACCATAGACTTAGAGGACCAGAGAAACAGTACAGTGGGCAGGGAGCTTGCCTTGTATGCTGCTGACCTGGGGTTGATCTCTGGTGCCATCTGTGTTCCCCTGAGCACTTCCAGGAGAGATCCCTGAGCACAAAACCAAGAGTAAGCTCTGAGCACTGCAATATGTGGCCTAAATAAATAAATAAAAACACAGACTTTGAATTCAAACTTTTTTGGGTTCGAATTCTGGCTCTCCCAGTAATTTAGCTGAGTAATCTTGAGCAAATTTTACAACCTCTGTGATTTTATTATACTCATCTGAAAAAAGGGACTAATAAGGACATATAACACTAGTTTCTTATAGACACTGTAGGAGTTCATGCAACATACTTAGAAAGTCAGTTAAATATTTCAAAAAAAACAAAAGTCTAAGCTTATGTTTCTTTTTAAGTGACTGTCTTGATTTGCCTATAATATATATATATATATATATATGGTGAACCACCATTAGAAATCACAATAAATAATAGAGTTTACTTTATTTTTATTGATTAATTTTGTGGTTTCTAGTTTAAGAAAACATATGGTCAATGTTACTGAATACTCATTAATTATATATGGAATTGATCATTTTTTGGTATATACTGAATTAAAAAATATTAAAAACAAGCAATGCATACATGAGGTTCTTACTTTAAAATAACATCATCTAAGCTATTGCTTGAAATCTGTAATTTTGAAGATCCTCATTGGAGGGTTCAAATTATTGTTAATTAACTTGCATTTTTGTGGCTTGTCCCTGTGGTTGCACAGATCCTCTGCTGCGGGACTACTGGGTCTATGAAGGCTCTCTAACTATTCCGCCATGCAGTGAAGGTGTTACCTGGATATTATTCCGATACCCTTTAACCATATCCCAGCTACAGGTGAGTGCAGTGCTTTAAATCTTCCGACATGCAGTTCAGAGTTAAAGGTTACATATTGTTTCTGTGAAAGGGAAATGTCTATTTTATGTTTTAGCTCCCTTCAGTTCAGTCACATCTTTTTAGATGAAAGTTAAATGTCTTGAACCACTGAAAGCAATTGAAAGGTCAAGGATAAAAAAAACACCAGCCATCATTTATGATGTGCATTTTCAAAACTAGTTTTTTATAGAGTAAATAGAGCTATAAAACTAGTTTTTAAAATAGTTTTTTTTTTTTATCAGTGTAGCGTTTGTTTTTTTAATGTGGGTATCATTAGGCATCGGTTGTTGAGAGGTTTTGGAAGTAAATTGAGAACACTGGTTATTACTGTAAATTACACACAGGCTTTCTAATAATTTCTTGTGCTTTCACAGAAATATTCTGATAGAGAGGGGTGAGGATGCTAGGAAGAATGCCCTAGAAACGTCTTGAATATTCTTTAGCCCCTCTCTTGATCATTTCCTTCCTGCCCCGGATTGTGCCTAGGTGCTCCAGTCACTAATGCAATGTGTGGGAGCACTAATGTGGATTGTATACTATTTAACACCATTATTATGTGTTTAAACAATTATTTTTCTATCATAAAAATGCTTTTAATGTCATTTTCCTTCAGCAGTATATATTAAAAGGTATTTAGATGCAATATTTGTCTTATGATGAGCCTCGAGAATATTTTTAAATAAAAAAATTTCTTTTTACCAATATTTAGTATATTACTTATCATTCTAAAAGAAGTTTGAGCTTACTAATTAACCAGTGAAGTCTTTTGTTTGTCTTTGTCTTGCTGATCACAGCACCCAAAAGGAGAGAGAGAACAAAAGGGAATGCCCTGCCACAGTGGCAGGGGGGGATGGGGGGGAGGGATATTATCCTGGTGGTGGAAAATGGGCACTGGTGGAGGGATGGGTATTTGATCGTGGAATGACCGAGATCCAAGCACAAAAATTTGTAAATCTACAACTGTACTTCATGGTGTTTCACTAATAAAAAAAAAAATAACTCTGGTACATCTACACAATGGAATAAAAAAAATAAAAATAAAATAAAATCTTCCCATTTAAACTTTATTTTACTTAAAAGTTTTTAAATTTAAGCACCATGAGATACATTTGTATAGCTTTTATGATTGAGTTTCAGTCATACAATGATTGAACACCCATCCCTCCATCAGTGTAGTTTTCCCATCACCGATGTCCCCAGTATCCTTCCCCCCACCCCCACTCCATCCCACCCCCTGCCTCTATGGTGGCAGGCAGTTCCCTTCTTACTCTCTCTCTACTTTGGGGCATTATGGTTTACAATACAGATACTGAGAGGACATTATGTTTGGTCCTTTGTCTATTTTCAACACATATCTCCTATCCCCTGTGGTCCCTCCAGCCAACATTGACTCAGTGGTCCCTTCTCTGTCTCAGCTGCCTTCTTCCCCAACTCATGAAGCAGGCTTCCAACCAATCTTCCTGGCCCTTGTCTCTAACTGTCCTTGGGTGTTAGTCTCATACTATGTTATTATATATTCCACAAATGAGTGCAGTCATTCTATGTCTGTTCCTCTCTTTTTTCTTTTTTTTAAAATTGTGTTTTGCTATGTTTTCTTTTAATTTTTAAATTTTTATTTATTTTTTTTAATTAATGAAGCACCATGAGGTACAGCTGTAGACTTACAAACTTTCGTGCTCATTCTCCACCACCAATGATCCCATTAGCCCTCCCACCCCTCACCCCATACCCCCCAGCTCACCCCTCCTCTATGGCAGGGCATTCCCTTTTGCTCACTATTTCCTTTACGGTGTTATAGTTTGCAATAGAGGTATTAAGTGGCCGTTGTGTTTGTTTTGTAGACTACTTTCAGCACACATCTCGCATCCCGAGCGAGTCCTCCAAACATCCTTTACTTGGTGTTCCCCTCTCTATCTGAGCTGCCTTTCCCCGCAGCGTGTGCTGTTGGCTTCCAAGTCGTGGAGCAGACCTCCTGGTACTTATCTCAACTATTCTTGGGTGTTCGACTCCCATTCTGTTACTTTATAGTTCCCAGATTAGTGCAGTCTTTCTATGTCTGTCCCTCTCTTTCTGGCTGATTTCACTTAGCATGATATTTTCCATGTTAGAACCACTTGTATGTAAATTTCATGACTTAATATTTTCTAACAGCTGCATAGTATTCCATTGTGTAGATGTACCAAAGTTTCTTTAACCAGTCATCTGTTCTCAGGCACTCGAGGCTATTGTGAATAGTGCAGCAATGAACATAGAAGTGCAGATGACTGTACTTTTTTGCCTCTCTGGGATATACTCCCAGGAGTAGTATTGCTGGGTCAAATGGGAGCTCAATTTCTAATTTTTTGAGAATCATCCATACTGTTTTCCAAAAGGGCTGAACCAGTTGGCATTCCCACCAGCAGTGAAGGAGGGTCCCTTTCTCACTACATCCACGCCAACACTCGTTGCTTTTGTTCTTTTGGATGTTCTTCTCTTTGTGACTCATTTCATTTGGCATAATAGTCTCCCACGGTCATCTACCTATATGCAAATTTCATGACTTCATTTTTTTCCTAACAGCTGCATAGTATTCCAATGTATAGATGTACCAAACTTATCTGTTCTCGGGCACTTGGGTTGTTTCCAGATTCTGGATATTCTGAACAGTGCTGCAATGAACATACAAGTGCAGATGTCATTTCTACTGTTTTTTTGAACCTTAAGGGTATATTCCCAGAAGTGGTCTTGCAGGGTCATATGGAAGCTCAATTTCTAGTATTTTTGAGGAATGCCCATATTGTTTTCCAAATAGGCTGGACCCGTTGGCATACACCAACAGTGAATGAGAGTTCATTTCTTCCCACATCCATGTCAGCGCTGGTTGTTCTTGTTCTTTTTGATATGTGCCAGTCTGTGTAGTGTGAAGTGATATCTCATTGTTATTCTGATTTGCATCTCCCTGATGATTAGCAACGTGGAGCATTTTTTCATGTGCTATTCGCCCATTTGTATTTTCTTTTTTGGAAGCTTCTGTTCATTTCCTTTCCCCATTTTTTGATGAGGCTGAGTTTTTTTCCACATAAAGTTCTACCAGTGTCTTATATATTTTGGATATTAACCTCTTATCTGGTAGGTATTAGGTAATATTTTTTCCCATTCCATGGTCTGTGTATTTTGATCACTGTTTGTTTTGAGGAGCAGAAGCTTCTTGGTTTAATGTAGCCCATTTATTTATTTATTTATTTTTATTGAACCACTGTGAGATGGTTGCAAAGATCTTATGTTTGAGATTCAGCCATACAATGATCAAACACCCATCCCTACACCAGTACAAACTTTCCACCACCAATGTCCCCATTATCCCCCTCATCCCCCCCAGTCCTCACCCTGCCTCTATGGGAGACAATTGCTCAGATACTCTCTCTCTCAATTTTGGGGACTATGTTTTGATGAAATTTTCCCATCACCATTCAAGCCTGCCTTCCAGGGGCAGATGCTAGATCATTTATTTTCTATTGCTCATTTTGCATATCATTTCCCATATCTGAAATTCTAAAATTATAAATGGTTGGGTTCCAGAAACATCTCTGAAGGGAGCTATTCCATTTTGGCATTCAATTGGGAACTTCTGGGCCCGGGCTGTTGGTGCACCAAGATGGCACCTGGGGGTGGGTTATGGGCATGACTTCTGGCATCAGGAGCAGACAGGAAGCTGGGCTGAGGCTGTCCGGTTCCACTGCCACCATGCAGTTGGGAGATTTAGTCCTGAAACCCACATTCTGGAGCTTCATTTATCTAAGCTCATGGTTCATTTATGTTCTTTTCTGCTTGCTTGCTTAGTGATGTTTTATCCTTGAAGATACCTTTAATTTCAGTGTCATGGAGAGTTCTGTCAACACTTTCCTCCATGTACCTTATGGATTCAGGTCTGATATTGAGTTCTGTAATTCATATTGACCTAACTTTTTTTTGCTTGGCATTAGAAAGAGGTCCGAGTTGATTTTTTTTTTTTTTGCATGTAGCTCTCCAGTTTCCCCAGCACCACTTGTTGAAGAAAATTTCCTTTCTCCACTTCACCTTTATTGTTCCTTTATCAAAGATTAAGTGATCATATATTTTAGAGTCTGTGTCAGGATCTTCAACTCTAGTCCATTATTCTATGAATCTGTTTCTATTTCACTACCATGATGTTTTAATTACTACTGCTTTGTACTACAGTTTTAAGTTGGGGAAGGTGATGCCACCCATCTTCTTTTCCCAAGGTTTGCTTTTGCTGTTTGTGGGGATTCAATGTTCCATATGAATTTCAGGAGTGTTTTGTCTATTTCTTTGAAAAATATCATGTGTATCTTTGTAGAGACCACATTGAATCTGTTTAATGCTTTTGGGAATATTGCCATTTTGACAATGTTAATCCTCCCAATCCATGAGCAGGGGATATGTCTCCATTTCCTTGTGTCCTCTTTTTTTTCCTGAAGTAGTGTTTTGTCGTTTTCTTTGTACAGGTCTTTTGCCTCTTTAGTTAAGCTGATTCTGAGGTACTTGATTTTCTGAGGCACTATTGTGGATGAATTGCTTTTTAATTTTTCTTTCCACTCTTTCATTATTTGTATATAGGGAAGCCATTGATTTTGGGGTATTGATTTTGTAACCTGTCACTTTTCTATACAAACCTATTGTTTTTAAAAGCTTTTCTGTAGAATCTTTAGTGTTTTGTCATCTGCAATAGTGATAGCTTGATCGCTTCCTTTTCTATCTGGATGAGCTTGATATCTTTTTCTTGCCTAACTGCTATGACAAGTACTTCCACTATGTTGAATGAAAGTGGCGACAGTGGGCAAACTTGTTTGTTCCCAGTTAGCAGGAAGGCTTTTAGTTTTTCCTCATTGAGAATAATGCTTGCTGTGGGCTTGTGATAGATGGCTTTAACTATCTGAGAAAAGCCCCTTCAATTCCCATTTTGTTGAGAGGTTTATTTATTT